TGGGGGATTATACTTTTTTTTTGTTTTAATTATTGTTGTCTTCATATTTATAACACAGATTTTTGAAGTTATACTTCTTTTGGCACGCGTTTTGGAAAGTTAAGTTAAATGCGATCGAAAAATCGACACCGCGAAGTTGTCGATATTTACGATGCGCGGGAAAATTGAAATTATTTTTGAGATTATATTCGTTTTGGTACGCTAAATAAATATAACTTCTTACGTGCGTACATAAATACACGCATCAGTTTTTTATTTATTTTAATTTTATTTTATTTATTATAATTAAATATATTAATTATATATATATATATTTTTCTAATTTTATTGTGCGGATCTTTCGAAGCAAAAAAATATTTAATTATCAAAAAAAATAGGAATGTTTAACATGTTTCTATGAACGGTAGGAACTTTGGGATTAAAGGAGGGGGAGGTGGGGGATTATAATTTTTTTTGTTTTAATTATTGTTGTCTTCATATTTATAACACAGATTTTTGAAGTTATACTTCTTTTGGCGCGTTTTGAGAGAGTTAAGTTAGATGCGATCGAAAAATCGACACCACGAAGTTGTCGATATTTACGATGCGCGGGAAAATTGAAATTATTTTTGAGGTTATATTCGTTTTGGTACGCTAAAGAAGTATAACTTAGCATCTTAAGTGCTTAAATAAGTACACAAATTAGTTTTTTATTATTATTCTTATCGTATCGTCATTTACACGTCGTATTAATGTAAACAAAAATTAAATATACAAATTATATTTATATATATTTTTCTAATTTTATAGTGCGGATCTTTCGAAGCAAAAAAATATTTAATTATCAAAAAAAATAGGAATGTTTAACATGTTTATATGAACGGTAGGAACTTCGGGATTAGAGGTGGAGCAGGTGGCGGATTATACTTTTTTTTATTTTCATTATTGTCATATTTATTACAGATTTTTTTGTTATTCTTATCGTATCGTCATTTACACGTCGTATTGATATTAACAAAAATTGAATATATAAATTATTTATATATATATTTTTCTATTTTCTATTGTGCGGATCTTTC